TTACTGGTGGAAATATTGTAAAAGCAACATACTGAGTATATTCTCTCTCTAAGAAGTTTGTGCACTTACGATGTGATGTCCCTGCCAGCAGCCACTTGGAACAATATAACATAACAAGACATGTCTCATCATCCTTATATGGTTTAACCCTTTCACGACGGGTAATCAATAATCGTGGTGTGCGGCTGTATGCTGTAGTGGCGCTAAAGCACGGCGAGCCGGTGATTAGCCTGATGTACCGAACTCCTGCGCTCAAAGTCAGCGTGCTGCCATGGTTCGCCAGAGCAAAGTTTTTTTTGTTTTGTTTTCTTCACCTGTCTCCATTCGGTTAAACTAAGTAGCAAAAAAGCTTCAGAAGAACTGAAAGGACTTGCTGACACATAACATTATGGGGGTTGATGATAATAAATAATGAACTGCAATTTCCACCGACTAACATCACTTCAAAGCCTCTATTTTGATTTATGGGGCCTGAGTGATATTTGACCCATTCGTAATGGAATGGCAAAAATACATGCCACAGCCACTGTATTTTTAGTTTATTAATTGTTTACAGAGATGGCTCCACAAGTGCTTAGTCACCAAGGCCTACCTATCTCACCAGTTTACTCCTCTCCTTAATTTTTGTAAAGATTACCTTTATTTTTTTTACTATTATTACTATGATTTACTATCATTATTATTATTAATAACATCATAATAATCATATCAATAATAATAACAGTAGTGATATCTACCCACTGAACTTGACTGAAGGCTGATGTAATGGGAATGACTCATCATGAATGCACAGAGCTTTTAGAAGAAGATTAGACTCAATAGTCAATTGGGAAGGGCCTTTTGCATTATTTCCACCAGTACAAGGTGGTGGAATGAATGTCTCCATGGATGGCAGCCAGGGGGCCCATTTGGAGTTAACTGGCAAAAGCACCATATGGTGAATCTGTGTTTTCAGCAGTTTGCTCTAAATACCTCAGTAACATCTGTTATGTCTACATGGATACTTCCAAGATATTTTCCTATTGTACACATAACCACAAGTTTTCCCATATATGCAGAGGTTTTTGCACTTCATTCCTTACTCGTTCATAATGCGTCACTCTGCCAGCATTTGAAAACACTCCTCCTCCTCTGAGGTTGATGACCCCCAGCCATCGACTTCATAATGTTTAGGCACCATCTGTCCTGCTGATCACTGTCTTCCTCCTGTCTCTTATCTACTTCAAGTGGTGAAGAGTGGTTGCCCAGTAGGGTGGATACCATCAACCTGCGCTTCAATGTCTCCAGTTCAGTGGACGGACTGTGTTATATCTCCCAGGTTGAAACCACTCCAACAAGACAATCAAGCTGTGGCAGAGGAATGCTCCAGGGACTAGGAGATTCATTTTGTGCTTGGAAAGATAATGTTCCCATATATTTTGGATTCCAAAGCAGTCCTTGGGTCAAGGTCACATGGATTGTCGAACACACCCCTGGAGATCCTCAGCTGTTTTTTCACTGACAATTTCCTTTATCTAATCATCATAGAGGAAATATCAGAATGTATTACTTACTTTTTTCTCTTTCACTCCCACAGGTATGTAAACTCCTGTGCCTCACATGAGGAAGTGGACACCTGTGCCAAGGCAGAAGATCATGGCAAACCTTGGATCACCCCAGTTAATGCAACAAGAAGTCAATCATTACCAAGGTCATGTTTGACCAGTTGATGACTCACCTTCATTTCTCCCACATGGAGGAAGGAGCTCCACTCCCAAAGGACAGGATGTGGAAGCTCTGCCCAATCATGGGCGCCTACAAGGACTTATTCTGGTCGATGTTTGTTCAGGACAGGACATCACCATCAACAAGTTGTTATGGAAGTTCCATGGGTGACTAGTTCTAAAGACCATCAACCCAAACAAGAGGGCAAGGTCAGGCTGAAGGTCTATAAGCACTGTGCCAGCCCAGCAGCAGGATACGCCTAGTTTCAAGGTGTACACCCAGCAGGACTGGTGACGTGCCCCGTCCACAAAAACAGTGCTCCATTTGATGGAAACTGGTGGCTTTCTTGGGCTGGGATACCAGTTGTTTATGGACAACTGGTACATATCGCCTCTTTCTCGTGTTACAGGCAAAAAGGATGAATGGTAGGGACAGCACCACTGAACCAGAGGTTCATGCCCAAGAACCTCTGTGTAAGGAGGAAGGGAGTGGTGAACTAAAACAGTAGCAAGACGGGGTTGTTGCTCTTGCAGTGGAAGGACTGCAACACTATCACCATGCTGTCAACAGTCCACACTGCAGGAATGGATAGGGATAAGCCATTGGTGGTAGTGGATTAGAACATCGATATGAAAGGTGTTGATGTTGGTAATCAGATGGCGAGCTACTATCCGATGATTTGCTGGTCCAAAGTATGGTACAGGAAAGTCTTCTTTTTCCTCTATGACATGGCTATTTCAATGCCTGGGCCATATATTTTGCCCTGGGTGGAAAGGAGACACAGAAGGTCTTCAGAGTAGGTCTTGCCTCTGAGTTACTGGGGGACTTTAGAGAAAGAGCTGACTCCACCAGGAACCACACATGACCACTAGTTGCAGCTAGCTGGACCTCACAGTAGTGAGGGCACGCTGTTACTGAAATCTGCTGTTACTAACAAACATGACTTTTATGAGATTCTGGACTCTATACTAAATCATTCCAATCATTGCAAAAAGTACTGAGACTGCATTTTAGCTTTGATATAGGCTTTGCATCAAGGCCCTGGTGATATGTTGCTTAGACACTGATTAGCCTGTATGTCGAGTACTAACTACATGTCAAAAAATAAATGTGTCCATCATGATAGTAATATCTTGGTACTGCTTTGCTCTGGCCACTGGTACTGTCCAGGATTTTCAAATTTGAATTTTCTACTTTAATTCATCTTACTAATGGATTTCTGAATTTTGGAGAAATAAGAGAGATGCAGACAGTTTCATATTGAAAAAAGTTAGTTTAGAATGGCATCCATGTTAAAAAAAAAAAACTATATGGAAATTTTTAATCTACCTACTTTCTCACAAATGGATGAAATAACTATAAATATTTTTGTGTAAGTCTCTCCCTCACACACACACACACACATGTGGATAAGAACAATTTCATAATTCCATATAGTTTTTATTTTAGAGTGGCTATCATTGAGTCCTATCATCTTCAACATAAAATAATCAATATTTCACTTATTTTTCTGAAGTTCAAATTTCTAATTTCCATTTCATATTGAAGTGCTCATTACAACGGAAATGACAAAATCAAAATCAAAACAAATTTACCCCACTGTGGATGGTACCGACCACTAGAGCTATTCTAAACCGAAATACTTTTATTTCTTAATATTAGTGCTACATAAACTAAAGCATATTACCACGGGGTCATGATAGAAAGCATATTTCATGTATAAATGTACACAAAACTCACATCTTTTAACCCACTAGTAATGGGTCCTTTGGAGTGCCATACACCCTACTTACTGGGTACAAATATAGTGGCAAGTGGCCACGGCCTGGGACTCCTGCTGGCAACCAAATCAGAGCATAAGTTCCCACTTTATAGCCTTGGGATTATACTGAAGAGTATGCTTTTGATAACTGAATACAATGTTTTGTGTGCTCATAAAGCTAAAATGCAATCTCAACACTTGTTACAATATTGGAAGTTTTAGTATAAAGTCCAGAATCTCTTATAACGCCATATGCATTACTCTCAGTAATATAATTGCCAACATATTATGAAGGTAAATCAGAATTATTATACAAAAAGATGGATTTATTTTTTTCTGGTCGCTAAATTATAGGGCAGAATGCCATGCCTTTAAACTGTCATAGGTCTTCTGGGATTTCTCCGGTTCCAGGGCACAATGGACAGGCCAGGCATTGACAATGGCTGTGTAGTAGAGGAAAAAGAAGACTTTCCTATACCAGACCTTGGAGCGGTGGGTCGTTGGATAATAACTGGTCATTTGATCACAATTATCGACACCTTTCATGCTGATGTTGTAATCCTTTACTACCACGGCTTATCCCCATCCATTGCAGCAGTATGGACAGTCAACAGCATGGTAACGTTGCTGTCGTCCTTCCACATCAAGGCCAGCATCCCCATCTTGTTGCTTTGGTAATTGACACCACCCTTCCTCCTAACACTGATGTCCTTGGGCATGAAGTTCCTGTTCAGCAGGGCTGTCACTACCACATCAGTCCTATGTGACTGCAGCATATGAAAAAGAGTTAGTGAATTAAAGCAGTTATCCACAAATAACTGGTACCCTTTCACAAGGAAGCCACCAAACTCCATCAAGTGTAGCACCGCTCTCATGGAGGAGGGCATGTTGCCGTGGTCCTTCCCAGTGTACACCTTGAAGGTAGAGGTGTACCCTGCAGCTGGGTCAGTACTGGCACAAAGCTTATAGACCTTCAACCCAAAACTCACCCTCATGGTTGGGTTATAGGTCTTGAACCCTAGCCACCCATGGAATCTCCACAACGACTTATCTATGGCAATGTCCTGCCCCAGGACAAACACCAACCAAAACCAAGTTGTTGAGGGAGTCAACGACTGGTTGGAGCTTCCACATCCTGTCCTCTGGGATTGGAGCTTCCTCCAAATGGGTGAAAGGGAGAGTCGTCAAATGGTCAAAATGACTCCTCGTCATGACCTCAGCAACAAGATCGGGACGCAGGACATAGTTGGTCAACCAGCAATCACAGTAATTTGGGGGGTTCAACAACCCCATTACCTTATGGATCCCAAGGTATGCCATACCCTTCTGCCTGGATGTCCACTTCGTCATGTGAGGGGAGGAGGGAGTGGAAAAGAAAAACAAGTAAATAATACATAATGACAGCTCAATGCAATTATTTAATATGGATAAAAATAGGAAGACCACGAATGTAAAAATGAACCTTGGTCTCCTGAACAATGTGATCAAGGAGATCTTCACTGAAGAAACAGCCAAGGATCTTCAATGGCATGCTGGACACATCCAGCAACACCTTCATGCCAAGAACATCTTGAAAGCCATGGCAATAGGGGATGTTGTCTCTCCATTGCCATACAAATCTCTGCTCCCTGAAGCATTCCACTACTGCATTTTTAGTGCAACACTAGAGAGAGGCTCATTGCTATCAATGGTAATGTCCACCTGAAACATGTAGTCCAGTTCTTCATCCGAACTGGAGACACCAAAACCAGGGTCAGTGTCGTCCTCCACTCAACTGGCACACCACTCATCCCCACTCTCAGAGAAGTCAAAAAAAGTGGAAGAACAAATAAAAGCGGGGAGACGATCAGTGCGAAATATGCCACTGAGGAACCTTTGCAGAAGGCACTTATGAGGTTGATGGTTGGAGGTCATCGACCTCAGAGGAGGAGGGGGAGCATCTGAAAAGTTTTTGACGAGCATTGCATTGCATAGTCTATGAAGTCTTGATGAGCGTTGCATTGCATTGTCTGCAAAGTCTTGACAAGCATTGCAACAGTGAGTAATGAATCAGGTGCAAGCACCTCTATATATATTTGAAAATCACTGTGCTTCAATGCGGAAGCAACATTAGCCAAAGAGGTCAAAGCAGCATGGGTCATGTCACATAAAGTGACCAATCACATCAATGACCGTGTATTGACATCACTTCCGTATATGACATCATTTACTGTGTGGAAGTAAGATGGCAGCTGAAAAGTGATATCACTTCCTCTGTGTGAGTGCGTGTGCATGTGTATGCATGCACATGTGTACGCGTATGCACACACACATACATTCAGGTGTACCTGGCTCTAATTACCTACGTTCGAAGTTTACCTGTTGGCGCTTACGCCCTTGCGCCTCCTAAAAAATAAACCGGTTTTGGTTCAAACAGTCCTTTGGTAGTTTCTTCATTCTTGTACATATATCATAGGCAAGTTAACTCAATTAGACCCTTTATCCCCCCTCATTTGAGACGGTTCCCTTAATGCACATGCCCCAGGGTATGTGATATGTGAGCATGAGGGTACCTTATGAAGATCAGCATAAGATGTAATACATTCATCATAGCCTCACCTGGAGGCAATGGGTTAAGTATGACTGAGGTATTTCTGATTTTTGTTCTTTAACCCCTGGGTGACTGTCATTTCATGAAAAAAATTGGCTGAGTGCCAGGGAGCAGGAGTATGCTGTCATGGAAAAATTTGGCTGAGTTCCACTTTAATGGAAATATGCTATCATGAAAAATTTGGTTGCTGGCTGAGGTGACAGGAATGACTCGCCACAAGTGCATAAATCTCTTAGAAGGTAATTATATTCAGTGGCCATTCAGGAAGGCGCTCTTAACATTACTTCCATCGGTAAACAAGTGTGGAAAGTACCATCTGCAAGTCACGACTGGAAGAGCGCTGGCTCTAGGGAGGACACTATTTCCATGTTCAGGATCCTATTCCTGCCTGCTGTGACCTGTAGTGCAGGGTGTATTGCAGAAAAATGAATATTAACCCCTTCCCGACGGGTGACACCGATAAGCGTGAAAATGAACCGTTTGAAAGCTGACGTGCAGCTGTACGCCGCAGCGGCGCGCCATAACGCGACAAGTGATTCGGGCTGATGTACCACACTCATGCTCTCAAAGTCAGCGTGCCGCCATTGTTTGCCAGAGCTTAGAGTTTTTTTATTGTTTTCTTCACCCGTCATCATTGGGTTAACCCCTTGGTGCCGGGTATGACGTGTACGTATGTGCTATGCCCACCGTGAGTACCTGTTTGATTGTTGTTACACATAGATGGCAACACTTGTACTAAATCATCAATGAGCCAGTTACGAGTACCGCCTGTCTCGCCCGTTCACACTTTTCTTTGATTTACGAAATATTTTACATTATCTTATTTTGCTGTTACTAATATTAAAAAACATTATAAAAACTATAATGTTTATGACAAAAATAACACCATCGATATTCATGGCACTAGTGAAAAATATGTTTTTCTCGCCATTTCAAATCAGGCGCTAGCAAAGCCATCTATCGGCAGACATTTCACGAAAACCATAGAAAGTGGGCACAGCATTTTCTCCATTTTTTGTTCATTTTCCCCGGCACCACTGGGTTAAGAAAAAAAAAAAAAAAGAATAATAGCAGAGGTAATAAGGCATCTGTGCACGGAAACATTCTATTACTATCTTGATCAGATAACAAATATAGACCTTGGAAAATCTAAAAAAAAAAGAAAAAAAAAAAACTTTTACACAATTGTTTGTGTAGGACTGGCCTCCAAGTCATACATGGCAGACATCAGATTGGTCTTGAGTCTCCTGGGTGACCTTATACCTTAACTAGCATCTATAGAACTGAGACATACACTGTCATGTACATATCTTTTAGAGTTTTACGCAATTCCCCAATTTTTACTTACCCTTCCGTTTCGTATGCCGTTGACTTCTTTTTTCATCACGAGGCGAAAGTCCAGGACGTAAGGGTGGAGATGGCCGGAGACAAGACATGCTCCAAA